GTGCTTGGCGCGGAGGTGCAGGACTTCGTCGCGCAGTGATGTGCGGCGGCGCTTGGCAGGTCGCGCGCTCTGGCTGAGCATGGCAGGAGCATCAGATGCCGCGCTGTGGAGCGCAGCGACCCATGCATCCAAGTCGTCGGCGTCGGCGTCCGCGGGAACGCACAGCGCCAAGATGTCGTCGTCCACGGCCTCCATCACGCACGATTCAAAAAATGGGCTGGCCAATCGGCTGCGAGATGTCCATTCTGAATTGCCTAAAAAAGTTCATTGCGGAGATCTAGCCCAAGCGAATGCGACCGGAACCGTACCTAATCGCGGGCCATGATCGCGGGCTTTGCTCTACGACAACACCGGACCCATGCTACAGTGTATTCCACTGACTGGAGCTCATAGTCTTCTACTAGTAGCGGTCAAGCGCCCACGATGCGTGTATGATAGCGAGGACTCGGACCAAGATGAGCCGCTCTCGTTGATTGGCACCCCGGCGCGTACGCCTGCTGCCCCGTTGAGTGATGTGGCGCGACTTGAAGCGGGCATGGACTTGACACCGGCGCTTGTCGATCGATTTCTCAAGTAGGGTTCATAAATTGCCCGTGCAAGCCTTCACTGACGACGCCTATAGCGACCTCCGACGTGACCCTGCAAGTCTGTCGCATTCTTCCTCCCTCGGTGCTCTCATCGCTCCTCGGGTCTGGCGCGTCACTGCCATTGCCGACTACGGACGGGGGCCATCTCGCGGCCGAGATCATCGTGCTGCCCCTCCTTTTTGAGTACCCTATGAACAGAGATGTCGTTCGTATGCTCCCGATGTTGCATGGGGTTAGGGTCACTGGAGCGCGACTAAGCTTAGGGTCTTTGGCCACCTACAAATATCTTGCAGTGCTTGTAGCGATGTCGGTGACCAGGATTAGCTGCCGCAGCGTGGCTGATATACACCAAGCCGAATTTCCAAACGGGCCAATCACTGTCGAGAAGCAGCTTCGATTTTGTGGCAGCTGTGATGCGAACCCGTGTCAACAGCACGGCGACGGCCGACGACCCGATCGCCGCCCTTGAGGCACGCTTCGAAGCGCAGGCGCGCGCGAACGCTGCAGAGCTTCAGGGGCTTCGTGCTGCCCTTCGCCCCGTCGCCCCACCCGGCGAGGCGAGCCGGGCCAAGACAGCGCTCGAGCGCGAGAACGCCGAGCTCAAGGCGGAGCTTGCAGCGCTCAAACGCAAGCATCACGAGCTCCAGACGATGTTTCAAGAGCACCTTCGTGGCGTACAGCTCGCGGCGACAACCATGACTACCAAGGTCCACCGCCTATGTGGATTGAACGGCGACGACGAAGCGGCCGCTCCCACCGTACAGGCCATTGCGCCACCTGCGGTCAGCAAGCGTCCGATAGCGACGCGTTCAAGCAACGGTTCAACGACAGAGCAGGCGACAGCCAAGCGCCCACGACGCCAGCGCAAAAGTGCGGTCGAAGACCCCGGCGATCCACCCTCGGTCTCGCCGCCTGCCACCACCATGAGCGACGTGGCGCGACTAAGAGCGGGCATGGACTTGACGCCGCAGCTGGCCGATCGTTTTCTCAAGTATATATCCCACGTATGTCTAGAGACTCAAATGGCTGCAGTAGACAGCTTCGAGGCCGTACGCAGAATGGCATTTGTGGCACGACCAAGCGGGCCTGCCGCATGCTTCCTGCCTCGGTGCTCTCGTCGCTCATGGGGTCGGGCGACCCACCGCCATCGCCGGCGTCGTACCAGTACCTTCTCGAAGCCGAGATCGTCGTGCTGCCTCTCTTTTATGAGTACCCTCGGATACACAATCTCGCCAAGGTCCTATCAAATATGTGTTGGCAATGTAGGAATCACTGGAGCGTCGTCATCGTCTTTGGCCTCCATAAGGCCGCGGACCAGCCCGCGGTGATTGTATTCTTCGACACGTTTGATAGTCGGCTCGACGAGGCTGGGGTTCGAACCCACGTGGCCGACTTTCTCATCGCAGTGCATCGCAGCACCCGCTCTGGAGCCAAGACCACGCTCGAGTTGCACAACGACCATGTCAAGGTGCCATGCCAGGACAACCCGAATGACAGCGGGCTCTGGATGCTGCGCAACGTGGAGCGAGCGCTCCGCGCCTGCACCGACACGCGCAAGGTCTGCCCGCCTTCGTCGTTCCTGACCAACTTTTGGAACGTGGCGCTCGAACACCGGATCCGCTTTGACGTCGACGGTGCGCAGGACACGGTCAAAGATACGCGCCGAGCAATGCTCGCGATACTCTGACACTGTGGATCTGCTTCGATGAGTGACAATAATGATCCTGATGTTCGTCGTTTCGCGTTGCATCGCCCGACAGGATGCTATCGTAAGCAGCTTATATCGAGTCGACACGGCCATAGGCCGCTAGGGCAAGTGCACCTTGTCGATTATCAAAAATAAAATTTTGTGAAAAGCCTTGTTTCTGGTGTCATCGAATCGGCACATTCTCGGGTATTGGAATGTAGAATTACTTGTACAGCATCCATGGGCTACTATCGAACGACACACACTTGGACACCACGTCGATCGTACCCCCTTTACTGATTGATGCCTTGCGTGAGCAGTCGGAGGTAGCACAGTTGGAAGTCGCAGACATGGCCCGCCAGCGATATTTTCAAATGGACCAATTAGCGACGAGAAGTCGACCAAAGATCTCTGATGTTGGCGCTCGAAACATACCTGGAAGCTGCAAGAGCGGCGCGCTGCATTTCGCGCCACCGCCCAATGAGACGAGCCGTGCCAAAACAGCGCTTGAGCGCAAGCGTCGTGAGCTCCAGACGAGCGTCCAGCACGCGACAGCAACCAAGGCAACCGCCAATGAGACGTGAACAGCAACGACAAAGTAGCCGTGTCCGATGTCCAGGCACTGATCCGCCTGTAGTCGGCGAGCCTTCTACAGCGCCGGACCATTGGCTACGAGACGGAGTCCAATACCCATCCAACTGGATTGTCCAAGACATACAACGCCAAGCCATGATAGCGACCCTTCGACGATTCAAAGCTACATGACTACACTAGTACTCGTATGAAAGAAGACAATCGTCCCAAGGTTATTCCTTGCTCGATGTGTTGTGATTTGAAAAAAGGTCGATTTTTCAAGGGAAAATGACGGGTGACGCGCCTACAGATAGGTGGTACTATGATGGTGTCCTGGCATCGGTACCCACGCAGAATCTTCAAGCTTTCTTGGTCGTCTGTCTGGACGATCCGCGTTGAACCATGACCAGATTCAGATGCATGTACAGAGCGTTCGTTGAGGCGAGCACTCTTTACTCGTAGTGTCTTCTCAGCACACATGGTAGGTCTTCCGGCGCCACTGTCGCGCCTCATGGTATATGCAAAGAACCACTTGTAATAGCAATATTGTCTTCCAAGAAGCAAGTCCTTGATCAGTGGTCCTTGATACGATCATGTGCTGGCGTTATCGCACAGGAATGCATGTCGTACAGGTCATCGTTTGATTGGCCGTTGAGAATTATTGTCCTCTGATTGGTCCGTGAAAAATCTCGAAGCTGACGATCACAACCAAAAAGAGCCCGCGACGAGCATGACCCAGATGACCACCAGCATTGCGTACGGCGACGACATCTTCTGCCAGGACATTGCAGTTCTCGTGCCCACGGTGACGTCGGGCGAGGCTAGCCCCAACTCGCCGTCGTCCGAGTCGTCGGGCTCTGAGACCAAGAAGCGCCGCCGGCCCACGATCCTCGACGAGCTCAAGTACCTCCGCGCCAAGCACGACGAGCTCTCGACACAGCTCGAGCAGCTCCGAGCGATCACAAGCATTGTGCCAATCGAATCCGAGTGGGCCAGCCGTGCAGCCACGCAGGCGCAAGCGGCGCAGCAAGCACTGTACGAGAACGCCCAGCTCCAAGGTCTCCTCGACGACCAGATGAAGCTGCTCGCGACGCTCCAACGTGCGTTCACGCGCCGCCCCAAGCTGTGCGCGTACTCGGCCATGGCGTCGTGGAAGCGCGCGTGCTTGGGCCTGACCGACCGACGCGCGACGCTGACCCGTGTCCTCGATGACCACTACGACAAGCTCAGCACCGAATACGTTCGCCACGACCTGCACACGCACGAAGCAAGTCGCGAGCGCTACACGCATATTCAACTGGACGAGAGCGCGGACGGCGACGAGGCGTCGTTGGCACTGCACTCGACGGTCTGCCACTCGTGGCCCGTGCCGTATACGACGCTCGCAGAGCTCTTGTGGAACATGATCACGACGCCGATGCCGGAGGTGAATGGCCTCTCTAACACAGTAAGTCTGTAGCTTCTACGACCGGTAGAGCCTTTGTATCATGCATGTTGACGTAGCTCAACGAGTCGTTTGGGACGGAGATGACGTACGCGCACCATGTTGCGACGACGTTTCCGGCGCACTTTCCACCGATTCAAAGTCGGATCGCTGCACGCAAGTACGTCGAAGCGTCGCGGGTCGTCCTTGTGTGGCGCTCGATCCTCGAAGACGCTTTGACGCCGTGGAACCCGCAGCAGCTCGTCGGCAACGAAGCCACTTGGTATAGTGCAACAATGATCCCACGGATAGAAAAAACATCATTGTACTGCGTAGGATGGTCGTGAGTGACCAAGGCGACGGCACGTGTCGGTTGCTGACGCACGCGCAGATGCGGCCGCCGATACTGCCGCCCAATGCGACGGACGACAGCCTCTCGTTGCCACCAGGAGTCTTTGCCGAGTGCTTTCTGGGGCATTTCCAAGTAGGCGCCAATATGTTTGAGGCGCTCATCCAGAGCAAGCTCGCCGCCGCCCCGTAGCGATATCACCTGCCATGGCTCTCTAGTAATGTATTCAAGTGGTGCAACCCGCGGCGAATCCACTCGGTCTCGAGCTTGTCGTACTGGAGCTGCGTTAGCCGCAGCATGTCTTCGCGGCGACCACTGGGGCCGAGCTTCGCCAGCTTCCAGGATGCGACGCAAGGAAAGTTGCACGCTGTTGACTTCCGGGCAAACGCGCGTTCGAGAGTCGCGACAAGGCGGAGCTGTTCGCGTAGAAGCTCTTGGAGGCGGGCGTGTTCATGCATTGCGTGCTGCGCCGCAACGGCTTGGCGCTGCGCCCGCGCGGCCCACGCCGACGCCGTGGGCGTGAGAGCGCGCTGGGACTGGAGCACTTGCAGCTGCGCCTCAAGGTCATCACGCTTGGCACGGAGGCGCTCGATCTCTTTCCGAAGCGATAGGCCGCGCTGGCGCTTCTTGGGCAGTGTAGCATCCTGGGCGATAGCAGTTGCTTCGCCCGTGAGCGGCGCGAGGCAGTCGTCAAACTACATGTCGTCGTCGGAGGCGGCCGTCTGCTCATCTACATGGCGGCGACAGGCAGCTGCTTGGGAGGGACTGCAAGTTGCTTGTCGGTGATTGGCCAGTCAAAATGGGTAAGTAGCTGACCAATTACCGACAAGAAAACTACCAAGCATCTTCGATTTTTGCGCCTGCCATAGTTCGAGCTTGGGTCAGCCCGATGACCGACGACCCGATGGCCGCGCTTGAAGCGCGATTCGAGGCGCGGGCGCAAGGGACCGCCGCAGAGCTACTGGAGCTTCGCACTGCCCTTCGCGCCGCCGCGCAGCCCGACGAGGCGAGCCGGGCCAAGGCAGCGCTCGAGCACGAAAACGCCGAGCACAGGCCAAGCTCGCAGCACTCGGACACGAGAACGCCGAGCTCACGGCAAAGCTGACAGCGCTCAGCAGCAAGCATGGCGAGCTCGAGACGTTGTTTGAAGAGCACCTTCGCGACGTTCAGCACGCGTCGACGACCATGACCGCCAAGTTCAACCGCCTCCGTGGCGTCAACGTCGACGACAACGACGACTCGCCGCAAGCCACCACCCCTGCGCCGGAGAGAAACGCCATGGCTCCGCCCGCGGATGGTCAACCTGCGGGCGCGGGTCGTGTGCCCAAGCCGGCTGCCTCAAACAGTCCAACCGAGGCGCCACCTGCGCTGATGCATACGAGCCAGAGACCTACCACAAAGCATGCGTCGGCCAAGCGCCCACGATACCAGTACGATAGCGATGGCTCAGACCAAGACGAGCCGTCTTCGGCGAATGCCACGCCCACGCTGCCTGCCGCCTCAATGAGCGACGTCGCGCGACTTAAAGCGGGCATGGACCTGGCACCGGCGCTCGTCGATCACTATCTCGAGTACACTCCTCGTGTGTGTGGTTCAACGACTGAGACTGTTGTCGTAGGCTCCTCCAAGGACATACGCACAATGGCATTTGCGACGAGACCAAGCGGGCATGCCGCATGCTTCCTGCCTCGGTGCTCTCGTCGCTCATGGGGTCGGGCGACCCACAGCCATCGCCGGCGACGTACCAGCACCTTCTCGACGCCGAGATCATCGTGCTGCCTCTCTTTTATGAGTACCCTCGGATACATCTCTCCAAGGTCCTCACGCTGTTGTCTTGGGGTTAGGGATCACTGGAGCGTGACTATGGTCTTTGGCCTTCATGCCACCGCGAATCAGCCTCCGGTGATTGTGTTCGTCGACACGTTTGACAGTCCGCACCGCGAGGCTGCGGTTCGAACCCACGTGGCCGACTTTCTCATCGCGATGCATCGCGCCAGCCGTATGGACGAGACGGCCACGCTCGCGTTGCACAACGCCTATGTCAAGGCGCCGTTTCACGACAACCCGAATGACAGCGGGCTCTGGATGCTGCGCAATGTGGAGCGAGCGCTGGGCGCCTGCACCAACACGCGCAAGATCTGCCCTTCGGTGTTTGCGACCAACTATAACAACGTGACGCTCAAGCATCATGTCCGCAAAGATGTCCAACGCGTGCAATACTCGTTCCACGACGCTCATGGTGTCGACTACGCGGGAGACTCGATCTACAACCGACGCAAGGCGATGATCGTCATTAGCCTAAGATTAACCCGGTGACCAAGATCTTTTGTCTTTTCGAGTTGATTCGCCAGGAAGCGGTGGCGAAGCTGCAGCACTACGCCATAGCCTTTCGTAGGGCGATCCACCACCCATCGCTAGCGCAGACCACTGGAAACATCGCTGCGAGATATGGGTGTGCTGCCGACAATGAGCCAAGCTGGTTCAATGACGCTGGCTGGCTGCGTGCTTCTCCGGGTGAGTGCATCGAATGTGTATAAATGACCAACTTGTACATCTTGAAGACCAAACCAACTGGACGAGTCCACCAAGTACACTTCACTCGAGGCTGAAAGACATTCACTCCTGTGCAGGAATGCGTGTCGTTTAGGTTTTCTGTCGTCTGATTGGCCCGTGAAAAAATTGAAGACAGGTGCGGATCACTGCTGAACAGGTCCTCAACGCGAGCCTCTGCCGAGCAGAGCAACCGAAGCGATGGCCAGCATCGCGTACGACGACGACATCTTCTGCCAGGACATTGCAGTTCTCGTGCCCACGGTGACGTCGGGCGAGGCTAGCCCCGACTCGCTGGCGTCCTTGTCGTCGGGCGCGGAGACCAAGAAGCGTCGTCGACCCACCGTCCTCGACGAGCTCAAGTACCTCCGCGCCAAGCACGACGAGCTATCCACGCAGCTCGAGCAGCTCCGAGCGATCACGAGCATTGTGCCCATCGAGTCCGAATGGGCCAGCCGGGCGGCCACGCAGGCGCAAGCGGCGCAGCAAGCATTGCATGAAAATGGGCAGCTCCAAGGCCTCCTCGACGACCAGATGAAGCTGCTCGCGACGCTCCAACGTGCGTTCACGCGCCGCCCCAAGCTGTGCGCGTACTCGGCCATGGCGTCGTGGAA